ATTAAGTTTGGATAAAATGTTTGATTGAAAGAATTTAATGAAATACTGCTGCTTAGTATCCATGTAAAATATGGACCAACTACATTAGAGTCAAGAGCCTTTTGCAAAATCAAAGGTGTATAAATTGATTCAACCCATAAGACAACAATTCGTGTTGCAGCATTAGTTAAAAGGCTTTTCAAATCACCACGAGTACTAAGCATAGCAATATCAAATATAATCATTTGACTGACTGTTAAGTCGCTTTTAATAAATGCTTCACTTATAGCTTTGGCTCCACCGGTTCCAAATGCATCATTTTGATAAATTATTGAACATGATGTCCAATTAAATCGAATGAATAGTTTTGCAAGGGCTGCTGCAGCTGCAAAGTCCGAAGCAACTGTACGATAAAAATTAGGATAAGTATTTTGATCAGATAAATCAGGATCAGTTGCAGCATGTGATATAACAGGTATACCAATTTTTTCACCAAAAGGAGCAATTACATGAACGTCTCTTGATACAGTTGGACCAACGATACCAACAACATTTGAAACAGATACTGCACGACACGCAATGTTCAGAGCATCTATTATATTATCAGTAGTTTGCTCTGCTTGCCATCCTATGAATTCTCCTTCGATTGTTATATTATATTGATGAGAAAGCAACACTGCTGCCTTAAACATAGCCCAAGAATGGGCATATATATTGGTAGGGTCAGATGCGTTTGGTATGTATCGAAAAAGTCCTAGCAGACGAATGCTAGAAGAGTTTGATGACGGCCAACTTGTTGTTACATATTCTATGCTAAATTGTTCAATTATAATGTATAATAAGAAACATCGAAAGTTACAATACAATAACATCGTTATTTAACTATCTAATAAATAAGATGATTGAATAAAGTATCTGAAAAAAACAACAAAGTATACTAAAATTTAAACACTAGAGCAAACTAATATAAGCAGCAACAGTGATTGAGAAACCGAGCAAAAATTTTTTTGTCATATTTTTATATGTTTCGATAGAATACAACGAGTTCTACAAGAATATCTACAAGTAAAGTTCGTCGGTTCGACTCACTTGACTCTCGACTGTATCAGACAGAAGTATACAAGTCTCATCCATGGACACCCAGTTATGAAACAGCTGATTAAGGGAGAACTTATCACATATGTCGGATTGACTGAATTTTCATTCTGAAAAATTGAATTGGTTGAAAATTCAAAATTAAAAGCACGAGAATCGAATACTTAGCCAACCTTTTTTATGATGTTTCACCTTTCACTATGACAAAAACTTATTTTATTTCATATAACCATTCCTACACTCGAGAAAAAATTTATTTTCTCAAAAAAACCTTTTCTCCAGAACCCAAAAAAATTCAATTCAAAATTTCGAGAAACTGACCTCAGATTCGGATTCTCCGACCTTGATCCACTTTCGTCAACCTTCATAAAGTATCATTATTTTCTCAAAAAACCCTTTTTTTGACCCTAAAAACTCAATTCAAAATTTTAAGAAACTGACTTCAGATTCGGATTCCCCGACCCGATTTACTTTCGTCAACTTTTATAAAATATCGTTATTTTCTCAATAAACTCTTTCCTTGACCTAAAAAATTCAATTCAAAATTTTGAAAAAATTAACTTCAGATTCGGATTCCCCGAGCCCGATTTACTTTCGTCAACGTTTGGAGGAAAGAACTTTAAATGGATGTTTTTTTTCACCCTGATGTTCTTTTGATCCCGATGCAGACACACAGGCACACACAATCTATTTTTTTTCATATGACCCTCCCTAAAGTCGAGGGAATATTAAAAACAAATATATCACGACATTATTTGAAATATAATTTATAAGAAACTATAAAATAACTTTGAAAACATTTGCTTTTTATTTATAGAAGAAAAATGTTGGATTTTTCAACGAATTGAGCATTTTCGATTGTTAGTTTTGATTTATATAAGAAGCTTA